GAAGACCCCAGCAAAAAGTACAAATTAACTTGACAGGCCTAATACAATTACCTCATTTAGGGACAGGCCTAAAATTTGAAACCTCTAGATTCAGCAGAAAAGCTTAGTTCCTGACAATTTCAACAGCACTGTAACCCAAGGCTTCAGAAGGACTTACTGGAAATTTTAGGCTTCCAAAAGGATGCCCTCCAACTATAAGGAATTCGTTTGCTGCATGAGCATGTATAGTACATTCTGAAGATAAAGAACTGTAAACAGTTTCAGTCTTAAAAAAGCAGAAACCCCAATTTTCAGTATTATGTTAAAAAAAATTCTATCAACTACCCAAAGCAGCAATATATAATTATCTGTACTGACTACTGTGCCCAAATGCAATGAATGTTTCTAAAATGTATGCATGAGGCCATGGGCAGCAAGGAATAATCAATGAGAGAAGTATCTGCTATTTAATCTAAGTATTTCTCCTGCAATCTGCATTGGGAATAATGAAGCTGGAAAATATCTACAGAGGGCATCTAGTGTGCATATACACTTTTGCCCTATTTTCCAATCTCTATATAGATCTCTATTCCAGCTTCTTCTTATCTTAGCACCTACAGTCTAGGACCAATTCCTTTTATCTCATCAATGAAGATGTTCTGCTATGTTCCTTATACATATTTTTACATACTCGGAAATTAGTAAGCAATTAGTGTTCTTTCATTAACAAGACAGTCACAATTACTTAGCCTTTCTCCAAACACCTTATCTACTAATCTTTAGGCCTCTTCTTAATGGGTCATCCACACAAACGTTTGGTCCTTTAATACAAACTTCACAAATTCACAGGATTTAGGTTATTTCATGATTTGTTCAAACCACAAATTAAAACAAAACAGCTTTATGTGTAAGTAGCAATGCTGTATCTTGGACTCAATTATTCAAAACAATATTCTAGGTACCAATGTAAGTGAGCCCACACAGCTTACCTTCTAGTGGGAAAAACAGATGACAAACCAGTAAACAAGTTGTCAGGCTGGAGTGCTATGAAAAAAAAAATTAAGTGATAGAGGTAAAGAGGGCTTTTGTGATGAGGTAGCATCTGTCCTGCAAAGAGAATGATGTTCCAAGCAATTTTTGGCCAAAATCGGTTTAACTAGTTATTCTAGTATATATTTATATACATTTTTAAAAATGTCTTATTCATTTCTGAGAGAGAGATAGGGAGGGAGAGGGAGAGAGAGAGAGAAACAGCTGAGCAGGGGAGGGTCAGAGAGAGAGGGAGACACAGAATCTGAAACAGCCTCCAGGCTCTGAGTTAGCTGTCAGCACAGAGCCCGATATGGGGTTCAAACCCACGAACTGTGAGATCATGACCCAAGCCGAAGTTGGATGCTTAACCGACTGAGCCACCCAGGTGCCCCTATATTTATATACATTTATTCTGAATTATATAACCTTGCACTACTCTTTCCTGAATGCTCTTGTTCTTAATTTGAAGGCTAATTCTATCTTTCAAAAGGTTTTCATTATGTCCTTAATTGGTGTATCCCATAAGTTTAAAAAGCATGCCTTCTAATTTAAATAAGTATTTTATAGTATTAGCTCATTATTTTAGTATGTGTTTCTTCCAAATTACATTTAACAATGGGTGAAAAATAACAATATTTGAAAAAAACTCCTTGTGTTACTTGTTAGGTCTACATGGATATTCTAAAAAATAGACATTTTGTGATGCATTGTAATTAAGACAGGCTGAAAGCAAACTGGCTGAGTAGGACTCATTTAGAAGTTGAGGCTTAAGGGAAGATGGAAGATGGAGTTAATTACTGAGGGATTGGTCTAACAGTAGTGAAAACCCAATAGAGAAGTAGCGGTTCAAAGAGATCAAGTATGTGAGATGAAGAGGCAAATCAACTGCCCAAGTGGAAGAGAGCCTTTTGTACCACACGAGCTCTTTGAGATATGCTGCCACCACCTGGGCAATAAGAAATTCTGAAGTATGGAAAAACTGTAGTTGTGATTATCAGTTAATTAACAATTATAGACTCAAAAAACATACTTTCATTTTATGAAATCAGCATTTTTTGACAAGTCTTTGGATATTAAAGAAGAGCTGGGATTCTAGCCAGATGTGTTTAGAACCCTCCTCTACTTTTTAAGTCTCTGATTCCTTATCTGTTAAATGGGTATAAGAATACTATCATTTGGGGTTGTTTAGTCTCAGGATTAGTGATAATAGATGTGAAGCACCTAGCCCAGCACCTGGTACATAGTAAGCACTCAATAAATAGCTTTTAAGAAATCATTCTTCTTCAGTATGATCTTGCAAATACCACTAATACCTGATTATTACTTTTTAAATCACATAAGTGTGCCTATTAAGACATCTATTTTTGTATTCTAATTATGTTTCAATGAGAGGAAGAACTCATGAAATAAAATTTAGGGAAAAAAACAATTTCATCAAATTAAGTCAGATATGTGAAGACAATTAAGCACAAAATGCTGAGTAGGTTAAGAATATTCTCAAGATCTTTAGTCAAGTCTAGATTACTGTAACAGAATCTTAGTCAGGTTTTACTCATTCACAATTTTTTTTGATTCACAACTTTGACATGAGTCAAGATGAAATGCAATTTTATACCATACAAAAGAAAAATTTTTTTAAAATGACGGAGTAGGACTTACCTTAAGAGGAAAAAAATGGTTAAAAAATTTTAACTCTCCGTTTTCAAAATACAACAGCAATAGAGAAATAGTGTGAATAGATAAGGTGGTGTAATTCACTACACAGGAATTATGTAAAGACAAACCCTCCTTAATAGTGTAAGGTTTTTAAAATTTGGTTAAAGTTGCATGAATAAGATTTCTTAAAAATAAATACAGGTAGAGCTTATTTCCTTGTTATTCTAAGTTGGCATTCTGAAAGACATTGGAGAAAGAATAAAAATCCAATGGAGGATCTCTTCAAATAAGTAAGATCTTAAGAAAATTGGCTACCTTTCCACTAGATTCTTTGTTCTGCTGCTGCTTATGAAGCGGGAAGTTAGAAAAATGGCCAAATCCAGTCCAAGTGACAGAATTTTAAAGCTGAAAGAACACCAGGGAGAATCTAGTCTATTCCCCAGGTAAAGAAGAGGAAACAGGTTCAGAGTGACTTATCAGTGTATAAAGATCAGCAGAGACAAGGCCTGTGAAACTGAACTCACAGGCTGAGTCCTCACTAAAGAAAATAGTCCACGGCATCTGAACCAATCTAGGAGCCACCTTTCATCAAGGCAATGCAGGCTGCAGTAAGGAAGCAGCTCAGCTGTGGCAATGCCTATGGTTTTCCTAGGCTCACATCCTGTGCTGGAACTGATAACTAAATCAGCAGTAGGAAGCTGTGAAGGCAGGTCTACACTACAGCTAAAGGGGAACGGAAGCTTCTTTCTTACGCATCTTTTTCCTGCAACCCCAAGACTGTTATGCTTTAGGACACAAGCAGCAGAGCAAACTTCCGGGAAGGCAGTAATTGGGTACACTGTGTATCCAAGATTAAAACAAAACACACACATCTTTGGTCTCTGCAGTGAAGGATGTTAAAATACAATCTGACCCCATCCGGGAATGACTATTTGAACAAGTTTTTAGAAATCACATGGTTACCCCCGGCAAGTAAAGTGTTGAGGATACAGAATCCAGTGACTGAGTCTGCTTTTTCTGGCTACTACAGGTACAGGCTAGGCCCAAGCAGCACAAGCTTTGAAACCGTCGGCCAAGTTTTCAAACAAGGATGAGTAAGAAAACAACTGCTGCTAATACAACATACAAACATTAACATATGCCCAACGAACAGTATTACAGATCACAAGATTATTTGCCAAAAGCCTGTTCCCTGGTAAATAATACTGTTGTTATATCTAGTTATACATGTCACAGCTTGCTCCTCAAAGAGAACATTCTATAGTCTTTCGAGAATAAAAACCTGCTTTATTTGGCACACAAAAGTGAAGAGGTCTTGCAACATTCGCAGAGGTAGTCAAACAGAGCCGTTGAGTGCAAGCAATCACAACATTTGGTCACCAACCAAACCAGAGTTAATCTCTCAGTTCCTGTAGATTAGAAGACAATATTAAACTCACTCTTTCTGCTTGTTGACTTTGAATCCCTTTATTTGTGTACTGAAGGAACAAATATCTCTGTGGGAACTCTATGCCCAGTGTGTTTATCAAGTTTACTTTGGGCAAGTATCGATCATTTGAGTGTTTGTGGGTTTGTGTGTATGTGAAATGAGTTAAGTTCTCAAATTAAAAACGAACAACAAAAATCCCTGCTCACACACATGGCTGCATCTTCCTTTAGTAATAGGCTTTAGTGGAACCACCAAGGTCCAGCTGCTCCATTGTCTCCAGTACGTGAGGCTTTAACTATTGTCCAACCAGAAGATGAGAGGGGGAAGGGTGTGACCCAAGAGAAGAAACTCGCCAGAATCCTTCAAAAGCCGCTGTGTGACCCTCACCTTGGCTTTGGGCGGTTTGTGGAGACCAACTCCTTTCTTGCCGCCGCTCTTGGGTCTGTTTCCAGGGGTTACAGACCTCACCCACCAGGGCCCTCCATCAACGGTCTGGCTCCAGCAGAGGAGGGGGCTGTGCCCTGGCTGACATCAGGGGCAAAGGCAGAGGGCCCTCGGAGTTCCGGGCCGGCTCCTCAAGGCCTGAGTCCACCCGGGACTCCACGCTCGCCCCTTCATCCCAGCAGGAAGCGCCGGCCTCGGGGTCCCGCCAGAGGCCAGCCGGGGCGCCGCCACACACCCCGCTCGGCCTCACCTGCCGCTCGCCGGCAAGCCGGGTGCCGCCCTACCCCGCCCCTCCGCCCCCGCGAGTCCTGGAAGTCGAGGTCCCGGGACCCACACAACAATGGCGCAGCCGGAAACTGGCCCCTCGACTTCCTCAGGCCCATTCAGGGCTGGGGACGGCCTGTGGGCGGGACGAGAAAGCTGCGGCTTCCGCCTTTCTGCTTCCGGCCTGGAGGTGAGTTGGGAGTAGGGGTCCGAGCCCAAGGTCCCGGTCGTGATGCAAGGGGGTTCCTGGCAGTCGCTGCGGTTGTTTTGCCCACGTGCCCAGAGGAGGCGGCCACGGCGCTGGCGGACCGAGCTGTGGCGGGACCGAGCCAGGATTCCCCGGGACCGCCCGCTGTCCGAGCCCCGCCGGGCCAGTGCCCGCCGAGGCCGAGGGGAGATTGAACGTGGCCCCCTGAGGCCGGCAGCTTGGTGAGGTAGGGGAGCGAAGGAGCAAGGCGGGGAACCAGGATTGACGGGGCATGCTGATGTTGTGAAATACCATCAACTGCAGCTTCGGGAGCCGCGGAGCACTGGTTTGGAGAGCAAGCCCGGTCGAGTCCTTACGGAAGGAAGAAGAGTATATATATTCCTCCAAGTATGGGAGGCGCGCGCGTTTGGGTCAGAAATTGAAGTGCACGGGAGCCGTGTGGCCTATGGACAATAACTTTTTCGTCTTAATTTAAGGATAAAACTTTGCCACGGAGCATGCCCTTTACTTCCGCGTGCCTCGTTTTTTGCAAAGTTGGCTTATCACCCAGTCTTGCCTTAGTTAATTCATTACCGTGCTGGAGAAGGTGAAGAAACAGATGGACCTCTTATGTGGGTTGGGGCCTACAAATTCAAGGGCAGGGGGCGGGAGCTAGAGTATTTAACAGACTCCTAGAGTCACTTAAATTAGTGCTATCTGTTGAAAATATATGAAGAGACCGGTGAAAGGATATTAAAATCAGCGGTAGTTTTCTTGAGGTGATGGGAATTATAGTTTGTTGCGGTTTTCTGAAAAGAACACGAATTGTATAATAGACTAAAAAAAAAAAAAAGTTAAAGAATAAAGTGAGGTGTTTGATTTTGTAATTATGTACCTAACCCTAATAATGAATGACATTTTTAGTATAAGAAGTTCAAGACCTAGGAATGAATATGCTCTAATTTTTTTTAATATGCCAGTTAGCTTTATAAATAATTTTATTTTTGAAGTAATTTACTAATAGTTTGTAATTACTCCAGTAATTAGGATTTTCTTACAGAGCATTTGCAGTTGTAGTAATGATTTCGTTTTTCACATTAGGAAGAAATAAATATTAAATGTCTTTGATATGCCAGGCAATTTTATATGTCATCTATAGATTGCATATGTAGAATTTTGAAATAACTTCATCTGCAATTGTATTAAAATCCTGAAAGTTGTGACTTAAACTTTTTTTCTTTTATCTGTTCTTCTCAACCCACCCAGTATATAGAATTTAAATCTTCTCTCACAAGTGTATGGTAGAGCTAAAGAAGAAGACAAGCAAGGGTCATCTGAAATTGTAATTGGCTCACTAATAATCACAGGACAAAGTTGGAAATAACTACTCAAGCATAAGGTAGATGACTTTTTAAATCCCACTGAAATTGTGGATGTATATACAGCCATTCCTATCCAACTGTTCTAATTCTCACCTTTGAATAGAGGTTGACCCAAACAAAAGGTTGAAAAGCTCTGAGGCAAAATAGAAAGTGTCACTCAGATCCACAGCATCCTTCCTTATCAGATGGCCCTCCCATACCAACTCAAAATGGAACAAAATGCATGGCACCTGTTATGGGTAATTTTCTCATTTATTAAATTATGTCCTCAAGTAGGAGTCCACAGATCCAAAAGAGGGCATGTCAGTTTTTTGCTCCTATCTCTTTGCATATGAATATATATTTTCATGGCTCCCAAACCTTTTCAATCCTGGAAACACCTGTCCATTACCTCTGTTTCTCCAGGCATTTCATGTACTCCATGGTTTGTCCTTTTCAAACACCAGATTTGATGATTCATACTTTTGTTAATTAGTAAATAATAGTACTAAGGCATTGTCCATAAAAGACAAACAGGATTCAGCTGTTTCCTGGAATGAGTGTTTAAAACTCAAAATTCTTTAAAAAGTCAGCTGCTAATAAAATTTGTCTTGACTATAAAGATTGCAAAGTCCCTATGGCAGACTCCATGTGGTTTTTACTTTTATCTTCTATACCTTTACATCTTTTTTAAGTGTTGCCGTAGTTGAATTATTTTTTTCTTAACTGGAGATATTAGACCTTATTAAAATTGTACTAATTAATCCTTTTTAAAAACAAGAAACTGATGAGTGAAAATGGAATTCTGAGTTAACTGATGGTTTGATGTAACTTTTTCAAAATTTGATTAACCACATAGTCTTTTTTTCCTCTTGTTGCCTCTCTCCTCCCTTTTCCAAAGACACTACCAAGATGTTTGATATAAAGGCTTGGGCTGAGTACGTTGTGGAATGGGCTGCAAAGGACCCATATGGCTTCCTTACAACGGTTATTTTGGCCCTTACTCCATTGTTTCTGGCAAGTGCCGTACTGTCCTGGAAATTGGCCAAGATGATTGAAGCCAGGGAAAAGGAACAAAAGAAGAAACAAAAACGTCAAGAAAATATTGCAAAAGCTAAACGACTAAAAAAGGATTGAAGGAATGAACAGGCTCTGTAGCCAGAGGAAAACCATTTGGAAAATTATGCAGCTTTGGAAGGACCCACTAAGGTTTCTTTTCTGATTTTTATGACAGTAATTTGTAGTCAGTGAAGTCTGAGCACATGGAAGGATCATGTTAGTTGTGACCTCTACTGCTGCAACTTTTAGGCTTTGGTATAGAAGTCTGTTGACAGTTATTGTAAATTGGCATTTATTATGCTATAAATTCTTTATAAGTGACTTAGTCATTTGCCATTTTGCAGCATTTGTACTGAAATGAAAATATCCTGTGGAGAGAAATGACTATACATTATGAATTCTATTCAAATAATGCCTTAGAATGGGGTCCTGTTCTGGATGAAAAGAGTTAAGAATGTAAAAATCAAAACCGTACTGAGGTGAAAAGTGTGCTTTGGCTTAAAAGACATATAGTATATTAATTTTATCTTTTATCATTATTGCTTATTTCTTGGAATAGAATCGTTTCTGGCTTTCTCAAAGCCAAATATTAACTAATGACTTTTTGTGTTCTGAGTTTTTTTCATTTTATTTAGCCTTTGAGATAATTATCAGACATTCTGCATTTTTTAAAATCTAATTTTATAAAGAATTCTCTTATTGACTATATAAAATACCACCTACCAGATATAACAATTTTTGTACTTATGAACACTGCCATTTTCTTAGATATGTCTTGTTGAGTAGAATAACACCATGATTTAGAGGTTGCATAAAAATGCCAAACCTTGTGTTACCTTGGAACCAGTTTACTCTTTCTTATGCTAAGTAGAAATGTGAAGTAGTTAAAATGTCTTCTTGGATAATTTGCTCATTATATACATGACATTTTTGTGTTTTTATTCCATTCTTTGTTTTAACTTATCTAGTAGTGATATTCTGTACTTTTTGATCACACAGGTTCATGGTGAAAATTAAAATTTCAAATTTCTTTTAAGGAATTCTTAAAAAGTAATACTTAAGTTATAAATCATAATTAAGTAACAAATCATAAGTGGCAAAGAAAGGTTTAATACTTGGAAAAATTTTATCATACCAGTATTAGGTGAAAAAGGAACAAGTCAAAATGAGAAATGTGTTAAAATTAGAAATAAAGAGCTAAAGGATCTTTCCTTTAGTTAAGTAGTATAACTGGAACTTTTTACTATTAAACATGGTTTTTATAAATGTATGGTCCAGTAATTTTATTTGCTGTCAGTATATAATAGCTTATTGTTTTTCTCCCTTCTGGTAAATTGTCCACCAGCTTTAATTTAAAAATGAAACTAGATATTGAAATAAATTTGATACTTTTTTATAAAGAGGTCCTTTTTTTTTTGTTTTGTTTTTTTTTTAGGGGGAACTAATAACAATACAGTAATTAAAATTAGATACGTAATGGAAGTTAGACGTTTCAAAGGGTTATGAATTTCATTTATAGCTAAAAGCATAGTTAAAAAGGTTGAGGGCAATGTCTCTCAGCTATGAACACCTAAGGACTCCTGAGAATGTTGATGGGCTGTTCTGAACACTACTACTTTTACTTAAGGTTGTCAGTTTCAGCTTGGTTCCAGTATAATGGACATTATTGCAACTCCAGTGTTTGGTTATATTACTCAGGTAATAGGATATCTAGTGATTCTTTTATTGTCACTGAAGTTTTAATAGTTGGAATTACCATTGAAATTCAAACTTAAAAAAAAAAATGCTTCTGTAGATCTCCTGGCCCTCCTGGATCTACATTACCCAATAAGTTGCTTATGGCTACATTTTAGAGTAAAAGTACTGAAGTAAAAGATCTATTTACCATAATTCTCAGTTACCTACTAAAGCTGTGTTTTCATTGGTTCTCATTACAATTTAAAGATATTTATTTAACTGAAATCTTTTTGAATAATTTCTTTTGAAGTCTTAACACATGCCAATTTTGTATTTGTTAGACATATGCCATTTGTTTCCTCAGGTTTAGCTTTTCCTAACTGTGAGATCAAGGTTTTATAATATATATGTCTATATGTTTGTGTGTATGGGGAGCTGGGGGGATGTAAAACAGAGTATTGTGAGGGTTGGGATTTTTCAGAACAATCAGTCTTCTCTCACTACAACAAATAGTACTATTGATTGAAGAATCCCATTTACTATTAGCCATAATACTTCTTTTTAAAGTTGTCTCTTATGTTTTGAACTTTTGAGAACTCATAAGGTCAGTTACCTTTTTATGGCTGGTTTTGGTAAAAACATAGGCTGCCTATAAACAGACATTTTACCAAAAACAAAAGTTTGTGTGTCAGATTTTGATCCATAGTAATCATGTGATAAACTTCAGTGTAGTGTTACTGGATCAGATATACTTTTTTGGTATAGCATTTTTTACTTCTTTTTCTTGGAATTATAGTAAGTAAAGCAAATCAAGTAAGCTTACCAAGGTGTGAGCCAGAAAACTAATGTTGACATACATCATAATTAACAGCTCCTGACCCATTCCTTCTTTCCTTATATATAATGTAAAGGAAAGTGGCAATGGCCACTTTACACCTCATCTCATATCCTGTTAGAGAAAGTCTGATTCCTATGAAGGAATGATTGTTTTCATATTTGCCATTGAATTATAAAATCACTCTGATTTACTTCATATCTGGAATATATATGTATATTTTCACAAAAAATATATGTATTTCTCAAACATTAAAACATTCCATTTTCAAATACCACCAGTTTGGGAAATATAAAAAAATTTAGGATTTATTCCTACATGATTTCTTGGAGGCTTTTAACTTAATTTAACTATCATAGACTTTTCTCTCTGCTGTTTCTTTCCCCAGAGAATATAAACACTTTGAGAAAGCCTGTTCTTAAATAAATTCAGGTTAAATTTTATTTTGTTTTTGTTTTGCTTTGTTTGGTGAGATCAGGCACAATTCATTTATTTGTTTTTTAAAAATTTCAAGTTTTATTTTATTTTTATTATTATTTTTAAAATGTTTAATGTTTTTAATTTACTTCTGAGAGAGAGAGAGACAGCATGAGCAGGGGAGGGTCAGAGAGAGAGGGAGACACAGAATCCTAAACAGGCTCCAGGCTCTGAGCTAGCTGTCAGCACAGAGCCCGACGCGGGGCTCGAACCCATGAACTGTGAGATCATGACCTGAGCCGAAGTCGGACACTTAACTGACTGAGCCACCCAGGCGCTCTCAAGTTTTATTTTAGAGAGCAGGGGAAGGGCAGAGTGAAAGAATCTTAAGCAGGCCCTACAGCATGTGTCTTGATTCAGGGCTCGATCCCTCGACCCTAGGATCATGAACTGAGCAGATATCAAACAAATGAGCTAAGCCACCCAGGTGCCCCAAGATCAGGTTGCATTTTAAATAGTGTGGTTAATAAGGTAACATTAAAAAATAAGGTATTGGCACAAGGCTGATTAAATTAAAAAATAAATGACAGCCAGGTATCAGTAAAAGTAAAAATGGAAAAGAGTAACATAATGGGAAAGGTTTTTTCCTTCATTTTTATTGATTTTCAACTCACATAACCAAGGCATACCTAATAGGCTAGATTTATATGATTAATCCCAATAGTCAACACGTTTTCTATACTTGAACAGTCAAAAATCTGGTATTTACATGTGCAGCAGCACATGCATGGGAAATCAAGGATTTTTTCCTGAGGAAGTACTTAAGGTATATCTGACATTTACTTTAAAATGAATATTTTTTGGAATTAAACTTTGCATAGGGTTGAACAGCAAACCAAAATAAAATTTGTGAGTATCCAAAATATAACAGTTTAAAATATGAAATGTAGACAAGCTAATATTTTATTTAATACTTTAATTCTGCTTTGCATGTGTCTGGCCTAAAAGCCAAATATAGAAAAGACAGCTTAGAAAGGTAATTTGAATTGGGCCAAGGTTTTTAGGTTCAGTTTTTACATAGGCCATATTAGCTGTATTCTGATGCCACCTAACAGTGCCACCAGTCATCTAAAAAACGTTAGTCTTGAGGAAGAGTGTGGATGGATTACTATTAACTGTCATTTCCACTTCTCAAAATAATTTTAAAAGTTTGCATGCTCCAGGGGCATCTGGCTGGGTTAGTCGGTGAAGCATGTGACTTGATCTCGGGGTTACAAATTCGAGCCCAACAATAGGTGTAAAGATTACTTAGAAATAAAATCTTTAAAAAAAAAAAAATGTGCTCTACTAAAAATGGTGGGCCAGTGTCATTATATTCAGGTATTTTCCCACAAGGACTTCTGATTAAGATTTTAAAAAAAATTTTTTTAATGTTTTATTTACTTCTGAGAGAGAGAGAGAGAGAAACAGCACGAGCAGGGGAGGGTCAGAGAGAGAGGGAGATACAGAATCTGAAACAGGCCCAGGCTCTGAGCTAGCTGTTAGCACAGAGCCCGACGTGGGGCTCAAACCCATGAACCGTGAGATCATGACCTGAGCCGAAGTCGGACGCTTTACCGACTGAGCCACTCAGGGACCCCCCCAGATTAAGATTTTCTTTTGCTGATTATGTGACACATGTATTTTATGTTATTTATTTTACTTATTTTATGCCTCCCCTAGTTTTTTAAGTTGTTTAAATTCCAGTTAGTTATTTAACATACAGGTGATATTAGTTTCAAGTGTACAATATAGTGACTGAGAACTTGATCATCCAGTGCTCATCACAGCAAGTGTCCTCATCACCTATATCACCCATCCTCCCACCCACTTCTCCTCTGGTAGCTTAATAAAACAAGTATTTTTAAATGAAAACATACAAATTAAAACTAATGTAAATTTTGTCATGACGTTAAGATATTTACAAATTATAAGGCAGCATTTGTAAAAAGACATGTATGGAATACATTTAATAAGCTAATAGGAATTTGGCAGTAGAAATATTCTAGCATGTTAGAAAATCTGCACTTTTTCTTGTAACCCAGGACTTAAGAACATTTTAATTACAATCAATTGTAGTATAAATTTTACCTCTTTTTATACTGCCTGGTGACTAGTTCCTTTTTTGCCTCTATGATAAAAATGTAGCATTACTTTGTAATGATATAGAGACAGAATGGTTAACCTTATATTAACAGGGTTGCTGGAATGTTAGTATTATCACCAAGGAGCTTGTTTCTTATTCAGTAAGTGTGTCATAATTACATTTGATTATTTGTTTTAATATTACATTTTATAAAGTATTTTTCTGTAACTTATTTCTTAAGCAATTAATTTTTTTTTTTTTACCTTCTATTAAGTAAAAACGTTAACCTATGTGTTTTTAGGAGCATTAAAATTTGAATGACTTATATGGTACTTATTTTTTGAGCACCTATTATAATGCCATACACAGAAGAACTCTATATTAGCAGCAAAAACTTGTTTGTGCACTTCAGAAAACATGACCCTTCAAAAATATTTTTGTATAATAAAAGGTATATATGAGCCTGTGTGGCTCAATATGTTAAGCATCTGTCCCTTGGTTGTGGCTCAGGTCATGATCTCATGGTTCACAGGACGGAGCCCCAGGGCAGGGCAGAGCCTGCTTGGGATTTTCTCTGTCCTCTCTGCCCATTTCCCACTGATTTTCTGTGTCTCTCTTTTTCTCAAATAAACATTAAAAATACTTCTGTATGATAATGAATGTCTTAATATCACCTTGTCTACATTATTCTTAAATATACAAGCCACTAGAATCCCTACTGCCACTGGAATCAATCAGCACCCTCTACTATTTTTCATTTTCTTAAGATAATTTTTAATCTCACAGAACTCTAGTTGTACCATTCCTGTTTAAGACTTTTGTGATAGGTTGCCTGTTTGTATTTGTCCTAATTCCTCGCTTCAAACTCCTCTAACCTTAATTCTGCCATAGCTAGTTTTAGTCTCATCAACTCATCAAGGTCTTCATGGCTTTTTGTTTTTTTCCATTTATCTTCATTTCTCAGCTAAATTTTCTTGGCCTTCACGTGTTTTATCCAAGTTCTTGTTTTTGATTAATCCTTTAGAATCTTACAAGCAGTCTTCTCACTTTTTTTAATTGGGTAATTTAGGAAAGTTCACTAATTACCTTACTTCTATCATGATATACAGTGGCTGGGGTTCCTAAATGATCATAAGGATCCAAAATATACTGAGCATTTACAGCTACAGGATCCTTCTGAAGGGAGCAATACTAAGAGGGAAAACATAGACAATTTAATAAATAGAATGATGATTAAAGCAAATGAAGGAGTTAAGTCTAAAAGAAGGTTTCAGGGCACCTGGCTCAGTCAGTAGAGCGTGCAACTCTTAATCTCAGGGTTTTAAGTTTGAGCTCCACTTTGGGTAGAGAGATTACTTAAAAATCTTAAAGAAAAAAAAGTTAGGTTTCTATAGTTCATAACCTAACATTTCTTATGCATACTTAAAATGCATTCATGTGCTTAATGGAATAGAGAACTATTGTACAGTCAGAAAATAACAAACTAATCTTTACTTCTTTTATTGTTAAAAGTTACATACAAATGAAGTATTTATTACCACAGTGCATTCATTGATCGGGGTTCTTGACGCCTTGTGGCATCCAGGATCCTGGTTGAAAGGTTTTACCAGTGCTGGTGGGAGCCACTGAGGGTTCTTCCTTTCCAAAGTATGAAGCAGAGGCATGGCCTTTGATCTGAGTCTGAACTGGTGGAGCCAAAAGTTCTTCCTTGTTCCCTTTGCAAAGGAGATTTTCCTCTTCATAAAGATCTTGGCTTTTCATTTTAACGACTTCTCTATTTTTTTCATTCTTTAGGATTTCCTGCATGTATATATAAATGAAAGAAATTAGTAAATTTCTAATTAGAAGAAAGCCCAAACTATAGGTTTTATGAAAATCAAAAAAGCCAATAAAAATGTACATATATGATACTTGCTTTTGCATTTAAATAATATATAGATATGCACAGGACAAGTTGAAAAAAAACTATCTGATAATATACCAGTGTTCTATGAATTAAACAGCTCTGCCGTCGTATACCATAATAAGGTGTGAGGACCACAAAATAAAAATATTTACTACCCGAAAAGTGAAACAAACTACTTAACATGAAATACCACACAAGAGCGTAAGTCACTATCTTGAAGATCTTAAGCTTAGCAGCTATATGCTGGCTCACAACTGATCAGTGACTGTACTTTCTGCTGGAGATGAAGTGAAGGTGACGATGGTCTCAGAAAGATGCTCCTACCAATCTACTTTTCTGTGAGAATTAAAGCATAGATGGTACTGCCACCCCCTCAAGTGCCAGACCCAAATCCCATCTGTATCCTTTTCAGTTCTAGGATGGTGTGGCAGCGAGGAGGAGGATAAGGATGGAATCAGAGTTTAGCATGCCCTAGACACCAGTGGCAGAGAAGCACTCTCGTATTAGAAATTCTTCCTTGGATCACTGCAAGCTATTTGTGCAATGCAGTTCAGTCCCTAAGAGTTGCTATTCTACCTGGAAAAGTCTATACTCCCAAATTACTGTATTTCATTGACTACAGTGGAAACATCAAATTTCAGATTTAAGAGGCATCACTGTTACATGTCTCACTAAAAAGGGCAAACTCTACATATCCTCATTTCAGAGATGTTAAAATTTGAAAAGATGTGTGTCTTAAAAACAGATGAAATAAAGTCATTACATCTTTTATCTTTACTGATTCCTTCTCTTCCTGTCTTAATAGTTATTGTCGAATGGGTAATATTTTTAAATGTTCTTTTTGCTTATCTGTATTTTAAAAATTTTTCCTTAACATATATATTATGTATGAAAAAAACTGAATGTTATTGTAACTAATATTTGTCAACACTTAGAAAAACAAGTTCTTCCAAGTTATGTGTTTTAATTTCAACACTTTGAAAAATGACACCTAGAAGCAATTAACTGGGTATCCAAATGTATCATACAACCTTCCTGTTTCCAAAGTAAATTTCAAGTAGTAATAGTCTTTTTTAAAAAGGTAAGCACTGATAATTAAAATGAGGGACAGGAAACCATGAAAATCCCAGAGGATAAAAAAGGCAACAGCCTCTTTGACCTCAGTTGAAGCAATTTCTTACTAGACATGTCTCTGAAAGCAAAGGAATCAAAAGCAAAACTGAACTATTGGGACTTCATCAAGATAAGAAGCATCTGCACAATGAAGGAAACAATCAGCAAAACTAAAAGGCAGCCTATGGAATGGGAGAAGATATTTGTAAATGACCTTATCTGATAATGTGTTAGTATCCAAAATCTATAAGAACATATCAAACTCAACACCTCCAAAACAAATACTCCAGTTAAGAAATGGGCAGAAGACACGAATAGACATTTTTCCAAACAAAACATCCAGATGGTCAACAGACACATGAAAAGATGCTCAACATCACTCATCATCAGGGAAATACAAGTCAAAACCACAATGAGATACCAACTCACACCTGTCAGAATGGCTAAAATTAATGACACAAACAGTGTTGGTGAGGATGCAGAGAAAGGGTAAACCTTTTGCATTGTTGGTGGGAATGCAAACTGGTGCAGCTACTCTGGGAAACCGTATGGAATTCCCTGAAAAAGTTAAAGATAGAACTACCCTAGGATACAGTAATTGCAATACTAGGTATTTACCCTAAGGATACATTAATACAGATTCAAAGGTGTACATGCACCAAGATTGTGGCAGCATCCATTGACTGATGAATGGATAAAGAATATGTGATGTAGATGGAGCTAGAATGTATTATGCTAAGTGAAATAGAGAAAGACAAAATACCAAATGATTTCACTCATAGGTGGAATTTAAGAAACAAAAAAGATGGGCATGTAGGAGGGTGAAAGAAATAGAAACAACCATAAGAGACTCTTAAAGACAGGGAACAAACTGAGGGCTGATGGAGGGAGGAGGGTGGGGGATGGGCTAGATGGGTGATGGGTATTAATGAGGGCACTTGTGATGAGCACTGGGTGTTGTACGTAAGTGATGAATCACTGAATTCTACTTCTGAAATGAATATTGCACTGTATGTTAACTAGAATTAAAAGTTACAATTTAAAGGAAAAATAAGGGTTGAGGGGGTATAGTTTAACTTTAGGCACAAAGAAGTATAATTAAACTTCTTCAAGGCAAACATGTCTAGGAAAGAATATAAAAATTCTTGTAATTTCTACCATATAGACCCATTTCCCATGAGTAGTTTAATAACCACAATAACGGAGTTTAGGGGCAGCTACTATGAACAAGGGTAAGAGTAGTCAGCCTTTTTTTTAAAATAATTTTTTTAATGTTTATTTTTTGATAGAGCATGAGCAGGGGAGGGACAGAGAGAGACGGAGATACAGAATCCAAAGCAGGCTCCAGGCTCTGAGCTGTCAGCACAGAGCCTGACGCGGGGCTCGAACACATGAACTGCAAAATCATGACCTGAGCCAAAGTCGGGTGCTTACCTGACTGAGCCACCCATGTGATTGGAGAGTAGTCAGACTTTTATGCGTCCTGTTGAATTCTCAGGTGAAATGACCATGTATCATGAAGGAAATCTCTCTCAATGTGATACTGCAAATAGCAGAAGCAGCCAAAAATACTTTTCCATATCACCATACTCTTCAGTACCCACCATGACCTGCTGTGTCTTTAGGGAAGTTCTTGGAGCAGAATGAAAGCTACAGGACAGGGTTGAACTTACACTATTAATCACAGGTAGCAAAACGCTACTGAGAAATCGGTATGCAGCATGTTTGGCTTTGGTTTAAGAGGATGAGTCACATGGCCTGAAGTTGCCCCTGTCTGCTTTATTACCTCAGCTCTCCTGCTGCAGTCTTACAGCTGGGATAAGCCTCCAGCTTCTGCATAGAAGAAAACTGAGGGCAGAGAGATGTTTCTCTAGCTCTGTTTTCAAATTTCTCTTTACTCACCATTACTCTACCAAATCAGTTTCTTTCTTATAAAGAAAGACATCTAGGCAAATAAAAAACCAATCTGAATATATTAGTTATTTTAACATAAGAAGATAGATTAAAAATTCAGAATTGAAAAACATGGAGATTATAGTTTTTCCTAGGAAAGAATTTACTTCTGTCTTTTTTCTTTTTTTAAAAGAAGTTTTTAAAATTAGTTTTTTTTAAAAAACTAATTGTTACCAGACCCCTCCTAAGAGCTTCCAGAAAAATTAAACAGAACATAAATCATGTATGAAAGGAAATCTAGTTTTGTAAATATTTGGAATAGATAAAATGAAAGTACTTAGGTAGAAAAAAAATAGGAATTTGTGCACTTAAAGATAAACATCATTTTTAATAAAGCCAATTTTAGAGCAGAAATTAACATAAAATAAGCATTTTTCCTTACATTTCCTTTGAACAGTACCACCTTACATCTCAATATGTTCATCGATAAAGTTTGTTTCAATGTATAGAGATAAACCAAGAGGAAGTGGGTCTTCCCTCGTATAAATGTTTGTATGTTTAAAACAAATATCCTTTTATTTGCTGCTTAAAAAAAATTTTTTTAACATTTATTTATTATTGAGAGACAGAGAGAGACAGAGCATGAGCATGGGAGGGCAAAGAGGGGGGAGACACAGAATCTGAAGCTGGCTCCAGGCTCTGAGCTGTCAGCACAGAGCCTGACAAGGGGCTCGGACTCACAAACCATGAGATCATGACCTGAGCTGAAGTTGGGTGCTTAACTGAGCCACCCAGGAGCCCCTATTTGCCGTTTTTTCCCCCTGACAGTATTTTTCAACATAGAAAAAGACAGTTGTATCACTTGCATTGTACCACAATTTACTTAATGAGCACCCCTACTGTTGTTTCCAATATTACATATTTTCATTTTAAAAAATAGCACTGTGATGACCATCCACATATTCTCTGACCCCAAAAGGCAGTTTCAGTGCCAAACTACCTCTTACTAGCTAGGCCACCAAAAAGCTCACATAAGTTTTTTTTCAGTCTCAGTTTCTTTATCTGAAAATGGGAATCAAGTGACCGTGTATATATAAATATTTACACCTCAAATACCCATCTGTATACTGTTCACAGTGACAGACATTCTGAAAGTTTGTGGTTAAGACCATGGGCTCTTCTGGGTGTTGTAAGTGATGAATCACTGAATTCTGCTCCTGAAACCAATACTGTACTGTATGTTAACTAACTAGAATTTAAATAAAAACTTGGAAAAAAAAAAAAAAGGCCATGGGCTCTGAAGCAAGACTGCCTGTTTACAGATCCCAGTTTGGCCATGTACTAGCTATGTGACCCTGTCAATGTTGCTTAACCTCTCTGTGGCTCAGTTTTCTCATGTGTAAAATGGAGACAACAATGCTGTCTTCTTCAATGGGCTGTTCTAAGGACTAGGCAAGAACGGACTGCTGGGCAAGGGTAAGACAACAGAAGAGGGCATGGGTGACGTTTTAAATAGTGGACTTTAAATAGTGGCTCAACAGGTGGATTATTTATTCCACTTCATTAAAAACATAAATACACCAAATTTATTTTCATCCCTCTTTCTCATCTCAGAGTACAAAGAAAGTTTCTTCAATACTTACACCCTGTTTAATTAAGTACTTAAAATCTTAACTATTTTGTAACAAACACTGAATAATTATTTGTTATGAAAATTTTGTAAATAGAATCCCCATATCAGTTGCTATTCTTATGAAGAATAAATAGAATTTGTGATTTTGGTAGGTTGAAAAACATTCAACATTAAAAAAACTTTTTTTTACATTTATTCATTTTTGAGAGAGACACAGAGTGTGAGTGGGGGAGGGGCAGAGAGGGAAGGAGACAC